CTTTAATTGGAGAAAACTCCCTTGCACCCTCGCGGGGGCGGAAAAAGGAGGTGTGACAGCTCTTATTCTGTATATTAAGTACATTCTGTCATAGTTTTGCAAATTATTTTGAAAAAGTTAAGGACACTAGTTCCTGATGTTTGAGTTTCAAGTTGAAAAGTTCAGGACACTTGGTCCTGAACTTTGACTTACATATTCAATATTTAAGGAGAGTTGGTCCTTAACTTACAGTTATAAGTTAAAAAGTTAAGGACAGGTAGTCCTTAACTTTGGCTTTCAAGTTCAAAAGTTAAGGACATGAGTCCTTAAGTTTGACTTGCTGGTTCAAAAGTTAAGGATAAACAGTCCTTAAGTTTGAATTATAGGTTCAAAAGTTAAGGACATGCAGTCCTTGACTTGGTCTTGAACTTATAGTACCTGTTCTTAGTTATACAAGGATTGCATTATAAAATATGTCCTGAGTTTCCCATTCTCTTGACTTGCAGGATGGAAACATTATGCATTATAGTTGCTTTTAATGGTAGATGGACTGAAGACTATAAATATCTTGATCATCAAACAAAGCTTGTTCTAGTACCTGAGGCAATTCGGTTTGAAGATTTCATTAAACAAATCTTTGAAGTTATCGAATTGGATATACACAAGTTTGAAGCAGTGATATGGTTTGATATCAACCTTGGAACAAGCAAGGGAATGCTTGTATCCAAAGATTTAGATCTTCACACATGTATAGAGTTACTAAAAACTTATTCATTCTTCAAGTGCTATCGTTTCGTTGTTGATATTTTGGAAAGAGTTTTTGGATCAACAAGCAACAGAAATATCAACACCAGAAACTCAACATGACAAACAAAAAAATGCCAACAAATAATGAAAATAGATATGGTTGAAGCTCAAGCAATAACTGAAGATGTGCTTCAAACACATGTCAACAGAGAAAGTCAACATGACAATCAAAACAAATGCCAATAGATAATGAAAATAAATATGGTTGAAGCACAACTAATAACTGAAGAGGTGCTTCAAATATTTGATTCTATTCAAGTAGAAAGACAAAGCATTTTAGAGATTGACAACGAACAAGCTTTGGGTATTCAAGTCTTAGAGAGTGCACCGGTAATTGAAGAAGTTGCTGAAAAAAACTCGACTCAACTAACTAGAAGAAGATCAAATTTGAAACAAAAAGAATACCCAACTATGATATTAAGAGAAAATGCTTTGTTGGATAAAATAAAAGTGGGGTTAGTATTTGACAAAAAGAAGAGTATAATTAACTGTTTTTCGAATACAACAATTAAAGGACATTTTGAATTCAAGGTTGTTAGATCAAGATCAAAAAGATATTCATTGAAATGCAATGATGATAGGTGTGGTTGGTGTGTGCGTGCTTTCAGAATTAAAGATTCAACACTTTTCAAGATAGTAAAGATTGAGAAAAAGCATGACTGCTCTGTTAACACTATGAAAGCTGATCAAAGGCATGCAACTTCAAAGTTGATTTGTGGTTACATTATCGACAATCTTCGAGACCCAAAGTTTGAAGTTACACCAACTTTTGTCGTGGCAGAGATGCAAAAATTGTATGGCTAGACATTGGGTATCACAAGGCGTGACGTGCTATTCAACTTGCTTCCGCTTTAATAAGAGGAACTCCCAAAGAGAATTATGAATTATTGTCTTCATACTTGTATATGATGACAAGTAATAATCCGGGAACTTATACTAACATAAAGATAGACGACAACAACAGGTAAACAATCAAAAAAAAAGTTTATTAGTACGTTTTATAAAATTTGGGACATGCTGTCTTTAACCAGTTAACTTTTGAGTTGTAACCAGAAGTTCAGGACTGGCTGTCCTTAACTTTTGAACTTGTAATTCAAAGTTAAGAATTGCCTGTCCTTAAGTTTTGAACTTTGAACTCAAAGTTAAGGACTACATGTCCTTAACGTTATAACTTGAAACTCTAAGTTAAGGACTGACTGTCCTTAACTTTTAACCTTGTAATCTGAAGTTCAGGACTACATGTCCTTAACGTTATAACTTGAAACTCTAAGTTAAGGACTGACTGTCCTTAACTTTTAACCTTGTAATCTGAAGTTCAGGACTACATGTCCTTAACTTCTGTTAACCTTGTTTTATATTGTATTTTTAGGTTTCTTTATATGTTTTATGCATATGGATCATCAATATCTGGTTGGAATCATTGTAGACCAGTGATTGCTATTGATGCAACTTTTTTGAAGTCAAAATTTCGTGGTGTTTTAATGATTTCAGTTTCAAAGAATGCAAATAATCAAATTTTCCCACTAGCCTTTGGAATAGCAGAATCTGAAAATAACAATTCCTATAGTGGTACTTTAGCCAGCTTCGCAATGCAATTGGGAGTCGTGAGAATTTAGTTCTTTTATCAGACAGGCATAGCTATTGCATATGGCATTGCAAAGGTATATCTTGAAAGCCATCATGGGATATGCATCTATCATTTGGAGTAGAACCTGAAGCGAAGGAAGGTGAAAAGTGAGGTCATAAAACTTTTCCAAAGTGCTGCAAGAGTATACAGGCGCAATGAATTTGATCTATACATGTCAGATATAGCAAAAGTAGATAAGAAGACTTATGACTACTTGATGGAAGAACCACCGGAAAGGTGGGCACGTTCTTGTAGTCCACGACGAAGATATGACATGCTCACAACAAACATAGTTGAGTCAACGAATTCTGTACTATTAGAAGCAAGGGAGCTGCCGATATTAAGAATGATGGAATTCATTCCAAGTGAAGCTACAACGTTGGTTTTATGAAAGAAGAAATGAAGCAAAAGGAACTTTTTATGATGTTCTTGTTGGGTAGAGGAGGAATTGAAGAAAAAAAATAGATTTAGCATTTACTTTGAATGTAAGTATTATGTTCTATGTTAAGCTTATGATTTTAATATAATTTAACATAATATACTAACTTATAATTTTTCAACATTGAAGGTCTTCCCTATTGATTCATGGTGTTCTAGAGTTGAAGAAGAAGGAATAACTTTATTGGGGGACTTAAACAAAAGAACATGTGATTATTTTCAGTTACAATTTGATGAATTACCATGTATACATACAATTGCAGCTATCGAGAAGAGAAATATCAAGAAGTCCAACTTTTGTTCGCACTGGTACTTAAAAGAATCTTGGCTGAAAACATATGAAAGACAAATACATCCTGTAGGACATACTGATCTTGGATTGTACCAGAGAGTGTTAAGTCACAAATTGTTAAACCTCCAGATTTCAAAGTGCCACCAGGTAGAAGGCAGAAGAAAAGGCATATTCCAGCTACCGAGTCATCAAAAATAACATTCAAATGTGGTCGTTGCAGAAGAATTGGTCATAATAGAATAGCTTGTATATATTCTCCGGCAGTCCATCCATTTTCAAGAAAGCATAGAGAATAGTAGATATATCCACTTATGTTTATCGACTCTTTTAAGTTTTTCCTATAAATTATTGGATTCATTTAGATTATTCTTATTTGAGCAAATGTCTGAATTTTCAAAATTTCTTTCTGATTACCTTCTTTTTGTTTCTTTTGAGTTCAAAGATTAAAAGTTAAGGATAGGAGTCCGTAAGTTTGACTTGCAGGTTCAAAAGTTAAGGACAAGTAGTCCTTAACTTTGAGTTTCAAGTTCAAAAGTTAAGGACAGACAGTCCTTAAATTTGAGTTACAGGTTCAAAAGTTAAGGATATGCAGTCCTTAACTTATAGTTCAAAGTTCAAAACTTAAGGATGTATGTCCTTAACTTTGAGTTTCAAGTTCAAAAGCTAAGGACAAGTAGTCCTTAACTTATAGTTCAAAGTTCAAAACTTAAGGACTGTCTATCCTTAACTTTGAGTTTCAAGTTCACAGTCCTTAAGTTTGAATCACACGTTCAAAAGTTAAGGACACGCAGTCCTTAACTTTGAGTTCAAAGTTCAAAGGTTAAGGACTATCTGTCCTTAACTTTACAAAAGTTAAGGACTGTCTGTCCTTAACTTTAGAAAAGTTAAGGACATGAGTCCTTAAGTTTGACATGCAGGTTCAAAAGTTAAGGACAGACAGTCCTTAAGTTTGAAATACATGTTCAAAAGTTCAGGACAGACAGTCCTTAACTTTGTGTTCAAAGTTCAAAAGTTAAGGACAGACAGTCCTTAACTTATAGTTCAAAGTTCAAAACTTAAGGACTGTTTGTCCTTAACTGAAGTTTCAAGTTCAAAATTTAAGGAGAGACAGTCCTTAACTTATAGTTCAAAGTTCAAAACTTAAGGACTGCTTGTCCTTAACTTTGAGTTTCAAGTTCAAAAGTTAAGGACAAGAGTCCTTAAGTTTGACTTGCAGGTTAAAAAGTTATGGACAGTGTCACGACCCGGATTTCCCACCCTCGGGAGTCATGATGGTGCCTACTAATGTGATCTAGGAAAGCGAATCATTTAACAACTTATTTCATTACTCAAATATTTCTTTAAAACAAATATAAGACGATAACATGAAAACATCGGAACTTTAAATAATTAAGCGGAAGATAATAACTAAATATCTAAAATCTGCATCTATTACAACTCTTAAAACCTAAAACACCCAAAACTTGGTGTCACAGTGTCACAGACGGTCTAAGGTTTACTACATACAAAGTTTGAAGAAAATGACAATACACTATTTCTGAATAAAAGGAAAATGAAACAGGAAATAGGAATAGAGGAGACACCAGGGCCTGAGGACGCCTGCAGGTCTACCTTGGATCTCCGCGTGGACTGAAGGCAGCCTCCAAACTATAGTCCAAAAGCTTCTCCAGGATCTGCACATAGTGCAGAGTGTAGTATCAACACAACCGACCCCATGTGCTGGTAAGTGTCTAGCCTAACCTCGGCGAAGTAGTGACGAGGCTAGGACCAGACTACCAAATAACCTGTGCAGTTCAAATACATATACAGCGGAAAGAAATACAAAAATAAATAGTCATATAGGAGGGGGAGCATGTTGTTGGGGAGATAACAATTCCGAATAGAAAGACATCAAGTAATGAAAGAACAACATAACTCGGATATCAACAAAGAATCAGAAATTAACAAATGCAAGGCATCACCCTTCGTGCTTTTACTCCCGTCCTCACCCAAGCAATTATATAATAAAAGTGTGCACGGTATCACCCTTCGTGCTTTTACTCTCTTTCCTCACCATATAATCAATACAATCAGAACAGAATGGTACATTGTGTGCTACGGCATCACCCTTCGTGCTTTATGCTCTTTCCTCACAATCGTACACGGCATCACCCTTTGTGCTTTACACTCTTTCCTCACAAAACAAACAATACATGGCATCACCCTTCGTGCTTTAGCACTCTTCCTCACTCAAAAAACAATCACAAACAATGGGGCAAGGGAATAAACAAGATTATAATAGGAATCCCGGCAAGGGAACAACAATTCAACAATTAAGTCCCGGCAAGGAAGCAACATCAATAATATGAACCTCCTGGCAATGGAGATAACCAATAAAGCAACAATATCCCGGCAAGGGAACAATTTAATAACTTCTTCCTCTTATTCACTTTTACTTCAAAACTCAACTTACCACTGAGCCAATGCCCTAGAGGGTTCAGTCAACTCATATACGTTTGCAATTCGTAATATAACTTGAGCCAATGCTCCTCGATTCAAAGGTCACAATTCCTTCCACAAACATTTCACAACAAATAGAAATCAACTCTAAAGCATGGATAATACAACGAAGTCATGAAAATCACAATATACGATTCACGGGCATACTTGGCACCAACATATAGATACTCGTTAACATGCCTATACGTCGTACTCAACATTTATCACATAGCAAATAAGATTCAACTCCTAATCCCTCAAGCTAAGGTTAGACCAAACACTTACCTCGATCCCACGAACACAATTTACGATTCAATTATAGCTTAACCCCTTGATTCCACCACCAATTCGCTCGTATCTAGTCACAAGTTACTTAATTACATCAATAAACGCTAAATGAATCAATTTGAATGCATGAAAATGAGTTTTCTAAAGTTTTACCCAAAAAGTAAAAAATTGCCGCCGGGCCCACATGGTCAAAACCTGAGGTTCGAACCAAAACCCGATTACCCATTCCCCCACGAACTCATGTATATAATTCACTTTGAAATCAGACCTCAAATCTAGGTCCAAATCCCCAATTTTTTGAAAAACCTATGTTCTACCCAAAACACCCAATTTCCCCCATGAAAATCATTGATTTTGATTTGAAATCATGTTAACAGATGTTAAAGAGTGAAGAAAATGAGTTAGAAATCACTTACCGACGTTTTGGAGAAGAAAGGTTGTTTGAAAAATCGCCTCTTATGTTTTTGGGGTTTTGAAAAATGAAAAATAACTGAAAATCCTGTGTAAATATACCCTTCTCAGACCCCCTGTGCGGACCGCACAAAATCGACTGCGGCCGCATAGCCCTTCCTATGGACTGCAGTGACATGCTTTAGTATTTTGGCCATAACTTTCTCTACTGATGTCCAAATTATGATTTCTTTACCTTTCTAGAAACTAGACACAAAGGGATACAACTTTCGTTTTTGAATCATCTCAAAACTCCTTATAAATCAAAAGATACAGGCTTCCTAAATCGGACAAGTGAAATGTTCTTCACCGCGGACCGCACAGAATCTAGTGCGGCCACACACGCCCCTCCGCGGCAGCACTCCATTTTATGCGGACCGTATTGATTTGTTCAGAGGCCTTCCACTTCCCTGAGCCTGCAACAGCTATGTTTTAGGCCTAAGACATCCCGGAACCTATCCGAAACTCACCCGAGCCCTCGGAACTCCAAACCAAGTGTGCATACTAAATCGAAAACATCATATGGACCTACTCGTGCAATCACATCATCAAAATAACATGTAAAAATCATGAATTAAACCTCAAAACTCAACATTTTCATCAGGAACTCTCAAAGTTCATAACTCTTCAACCGGAAGTCCAACTTACGCCAAATAAACTCCGTTTTTCACCAAATTTCACAGTTATCTTTCAAATACTATAACAAGTTTGTACTGGGCTGCGGAACCAAAATACGGGCCCAATAGCAATCGTTTCAAACATTAATTCTTTTCCTCATTTCTTAGATAATTCAGTAAAATAATTTCTTTCAAAAATTGATTGATAAGGCTTGGGAGCTCAGAAATCATATCCGGGCATACGCCCAAGTCCCATATTTTACTGCAGACCTCCCGGGATCGTTGGAACACGGATCCGGGTCTGTTTGCTCAAAATGTTGACCAAAGTCAACCATAATCAAATTTTTAACTCTAAAGATTTCTATTTCTCATATTTTCACATAGAAGGCTTTTCGGATATAGGTCCGGACCACGCACGTAAATCAAGGTGGGGTAATAAGGAGGTTTTAGGCCTCGGAACACTCAATTCATTTGCAACACAACTGATGACCTTTGGGTCATCACAGACAAACAATCCTTAAGTTTGAATTACACGTTCAAAAGTTAAGGATATGCAGTCCTGAACTTTGAGTTCAAAGTTCAAAGGTTAAGGACTATCTGTCCTTAACTTTACAAATGTTAAGGACACGAATCCTTATGTTTTACATGCAGGTTCAAAAGTTAAGAACAGGCAGTCCTTAAGTTTGAATTACACGTTCAAAAGTTCAGGATATGCAGTCCTTAACTTTGTGTTTAAAGTTCAAAAGTTAAGGATACTTGGTCCTTAACTTTGAATTTGAAGTTCAATTACACTTAGTCATGAACTAATACTAACAAACTCAATGGACA